TTATGACATTTCTAGCGTGTGTTAAAAATGGTGATTTTTCGATCACCTCCTTTGGAAAAGAAAGAATATTTTTATTGAATGATAGTTTATCTGAGAAACAAATTGGTAAATATTTAATTTGAAAAGAAAAGAAAAAGAGAAAAGATTTCGTTGATCTATTTGTTAAACAAAAATTTGAAAATAATTCACTTTTGTTTTCTATCAATTAAATCTATTTTGAAACATTGAAGAAAAATTAATTTATTAATTCAATATTATTTCATATTCTGTCATTCTTTTCTTTTACATACAAATAAATTAATAGTATTCTCAATTTTTTTTCTCTTCTTTATTATTATTTTTCATCGTGTTGCAGTTTTTCAATATAGTTTCATCGAAAATTAGTATATTTCTTTTAGAAACTATTTCTTAATAACTTACTTGTTAATGAAATAATTGAAATTTCATTAATAAATGCTTCTGAATCGTGTTTAATAGAAATATTTGACAGAGTATTTAATTCTCGTCTAGTTTTCATTAATTGATTTGTTAAATAGTTCAAATTAATCTCATTAAAGTCATTTTCTTCCTGAAGGTGTTTTATTTGTTCCGTTAAATCATTAAATTTCTTCTCAGTATCATTAAAACATATTTGTAATGATTCAGTGACAACTTCTCTACACTCTTTCGCTTTTTGTTGAATTTTTTCAATTGAATCCATTTCCCATTGATCAATTTGTTTTATTAATGAATGATTTTGAGGATTTTGTTTTTGTTCATTAATGCTTTCTTTAAATTCATTATAATCATCAATAATATGATGCAATTCTTCATTTAGTCTTTGGTGATGTTCTGCTAAATCCATCAAGCAAAATTCTTTTGAACATCCTTTGCAAGAATATGTGATTTTTTCTTTATTACATGTGAAACATTGTGTTTTGTTATTTGCCATTGCCATGTCTTTGAATAGAAGTTGATAGAAGAAATGAATAATTTATTTATCTATTTTTTTAGATATAAACTTAAGAAAGTGTTTATATACACACGTGTACATAGTTAGTCGGCTATGTACACACAAGTATATGTGGTTGACTAACTATTTACATAGATAGGTATAACCATTTTACTAGTAAATATAGAATCATACTATTATCTTACATGTATTTCTTTGTTAACATAAACTAAATGTCTTATCTTTTCAATAATTTCATTTAACTTTATATTATGCAATGTTGTATTTTAAAATATAATTCATAATTTTATTTGTCTTCGTAATAGAATCACTATGATAGCATACATACATTATATTTTAATATTGAAAACGATGGAAGAATTCTTTCATTTATTTGTTATTATATTTCGTTAGAGAATGTTTAACATTCACTGTTTCATACTACTCAGAGAATAAAAACATGAAAAAAATTGCATCAAAATCGTGATACAAACATTTTTTTATGTATTTTATTTGTATTATTTCCTTTAAATTTCCCTTTGACTAATCGTAATTAGTATTTTATTAATAACTTTATCATTTCATCGATATATAAAAAATATACATATGCTATTGATATAATGAAATTTCGATTGAGCAACGTATATACTTTATACAATCATTTGTATTTGATTGAGGACAAAACTCATAATTTTTATTACTTAAATAAGTTTTTGTAAATTACTTCTTGGCTCAAGAGAAGATAATAATGTTGAAAACTCATTTGATGAATAACTTGATGAAAATTTATTCAGCTAAAAGTTGAATACGTTTTAATTGGTGATGCTAAAGAAAGAAGAACATCTATATAGAGAGAAAAGAAAACATTGAATTGATATTTAACCTAATTTTCGTGATAGATTTATATTTAAAGATCCTTGATTTGTTGATGATAAACAAGATGAGCATGTTGTATTTTCTGTTTTAGTTAAAGAAGGTACTGTTAATAAAAGAAGACCAGCTTGAAGTTTTGATGATACTGATGATAGATGTTTAGATAATAAAATTAAACCAGAAGTAAAAGGAGTTTTGGGTAATGACGAAGAGGATATAAAGTCGGTATGAGTACGGGTCGGTAGGTGTGGGCTCATGTTTTATTTACCCACACCTAAATCCTAAAAGAAAAAGTTTTTTCTTCGTTCTTTTCTTATCAACAATTTCTTTTTCTTCTAATTTTCTTCGATTTTTCTCATTAATTTTCAATAATAAAACTTTACTTTTTCTTTTGTTTCTCGGTTATTTATTCAATAAGTTTTTTTTTCTTTTTTTCAAAACTAAAACTCTATTCACAAAATTATTTCAAATTTTTGAATTCGATGATTATAATAATCAGCAACATAAAGATTTCCTTCATCATCAAAAGATAAATCACTGGGACCATACAATTGATTTGATTGACTCCCTCCACCGTTTTCACCAACAACAATTTCACCTTCTTCTTTTCCTTCACACCAACCCATTATTCGATTATTCCCGCTATCTGCCACACAGATTTGACCTAAATGATCAACAACTACCCCTTGAGGTAACTGCAATTGATTGAGATTTTCTCCTTGACCATTTCCTCCAGCCACAACTATTCCTTCTTTTGCATCTTTTCTCCATTTCATCACGCGATGATTCATCCAATCTGCTACGTAAACAGATTGATCTTCATCAACAAAGATGAAAGTAGGAGAATTGAATTGGTTAAGTTGATCTCCATCTCTGTTTCCGCCTGCTACTATAATTCCGTCATTGTATTCACCCATTTTCCATCGTCTCACTTCATTCTTCGTGTAATCAGAAACATAAAGAAATCCATGTTTATCTATTGCCAAGCCATAGCAGCCAATATTGTTAATGAGAATTTGTTGAGTTTGATTTAACCATTGAATCACTCTTTTGTTACCATGATCAGCAATGATGATTGAATGAGTTTGTTGATCAACAATTACATCTGTTGGATTATTTAATTGATCTATTCGATTTCCTCTCTTATTTCCACCTGCAATGACTTGTCCTTCTTTTGAATTATATTTCCATTCAACAATACGATGGTTTCCAGAATCAGCAATAAAAATATTTTTGTTTTTATCAACAAAGATTCCTTCAGGGTCATCGAGTTGATTTAATTCTTGTCCTTTTTCATTTCCACCAGCTACGGTAATGGCATTTTGTTTCCATTTGTTGAATTTTGATTCTAGAAAATGATGAAAAAAAAAAGATTTTAATAAAAAAAAGTAGATGAACATTTTTTGTTTTTTTGCTAAAATTGAATTTTGAAAAAAAGTTCTACTGAAAAAGAACAAAGCATTTGAAGTTTTGTATTTGGAAAATAAAAATAAGTAGTTTTGAAAAAAAAGAGAACCTTTGAGTGGTTTTTTGAAGAAAATACATTTTTATTGAAAGATAATTTGTTTTCGAAACAAATTGACAAATATCTAACTTGAAAAGAGAAGGAAGGAGGATAAAAATGACAAAAAGATTTCGTTGATTTATTTTTAGTTAAATGAAAACTTCAAAAAAAGCAATATTTTGTAACGAAAATTTTGTCTTGGCTTTGCCTTTCTTTGATCAGACTTCTTGAATATGTCATACACTATTTGTATCTACTCTATTATTGAAATAAGATACATAAATAAATATAAATTACAACCTTCGGCATATATTTCTCATCAACAAATTTACTATCAACTACTGAATATAATCAATTTACTTCGTTCATTTTTTTTCAATAAAATCATACCTTTGATTGTCGTTGTTGCTGACGTTGATGTTGTTGATGTTGTTGATGTTGTTGTTGCTGACGTTGATGTTGTTGATGTTGTTGATGTTGTTGTTGTTGTTGAGGTTATAGTTGTTGTTGATGTGGTTGTTGTTGACGTTGATGTTGTCGTAGTCTGTTCTATTTTGCAAAAGTAAGTTTAGAATGAGACAAAAAGACTGGCTACGAATTTACCCCAAATTTCTCACTTTTTGAAAAAAACGAAATATTTTAAACTATTTGTCAATAAAAGCAGTGATTCGAATTAAAACGTTTGTGTAAAATAAAATAATTCAATAAAGATTTAAGATATTCTAATTAGAAATAAATTCTATCTTTTACTTTCGCTTATCAAATCAACATTTAAATAATAAAAACGAGAAGTAAAACGAGATGATTTACGAAATAAAATAATAATGAAAATAATTTTTTATTATTTCTAAAATGAAAATATCCTTGCTTTACGAAGATCTTCTTTCATATACAACGAAAATAACAGTGATTCAATGCAACACTAAGGCTATAACTAATAGGAAATAGTTCTATTGTATTTAATCCTAAACTCTGAAATTGTAGCAGAAAACTATTAGTATAAAATGAAGGCTTTTATTCCAGCCGAGAAATTTTCGAGGGAACAATTACTTTTGAATACAAGAATGATAAATTTGTGGAATAGTCTGTAGTTGATATCCTTATTGTAGGACAAACTAGTGTTTGGGTGTGGGTGAGGGTGTGAGTGTCAGTATAATGTGACGCCTACCCGCACCCACACCCACTCTCAGCTATAAAATAAAGAATCATTTAGCTTGCTAGTTACCGATTGGTATTGTTGTTGTTATGATTGTAATGTTGGCTGTAGCTTTTGTTGCTGTTGTGGTTGTTTTAGTTATTTTTGTTAGCGGTAGTGGGGTAGTTGTTGGTGGTGGTGGTGATGTGGTTTTTGTTGTGGTCGTTGTTAGTAGTGGTGTGGTTGTTGTTGTAGTTGCTTTTGGTGGTGGTTTGGTTTTTGTTTTGGTTGTTTTTGGTAGTGGTGTGGTTGCTGTTGTAGTTGTTGTTGGTAGTGGTGTGGTCGTTGTTGTAGTTGTTGTTGGTAATGGTGTGGTTGTTGTAGTTGTTGTTGTTGGTGGTGGTGTGATTTTGGTCGTTGTTGTACTTGTTTTTAGTGGTTGTGTAGCTTTTCTTTTAGTTGTTTTTGATAGTGATATAGTTTTTGTTTTGGTTGTTGTTGGTAGTGGTGCGGTTGTTGTTGTTGGTAGTGGCACTATCGATGTCGATGTCGTTATAGTTGTTGTTTTGTCTGTTTTCGTTCTTGATAGTAGTGGTGGTGGTGATGATGTGGTTGACATTATGGTTGATTCTGATTTCATAAAATAATATAAACGTATGAGAAAAGCATTAGAGAACTTGTTGTTCAGAAATTGATTCTTCTCGAACTACTATCGTGAGTTAATGATTCAGTGCTTCGAGCACTGATGTCTACGACCAGTGATGAATTTTTCGAGTATGCATACATTCAACAGAGATCATTACAGACCGGTAGGTAATATATAGTGTCTGTATGCAGTATTCTGACTTACAAAGAACCATGTAAACAACAAGCTCTTTCAGACATCTTTCATTACCGAAATGCTGAGTGAATATCACTACTTTGTTCGAAAACAATCATAAAACTTTACCGTCAACATTGTGCAAGTAAGTTTTGATCAAAGACAAAAACACGCAAACTTTTAGACAAATATTATAACAAAAAACAAAGAAAAATCCGGATGTGTCCATAGAGCTCCCTCAGGATCTTAAGGATGTGGGTGTGACACTCATTCATATCCATCCACCTACAGCTTAGATTTTACTCGTAACTAAATGCCACTGAATCCAAACTTCGAAAAGTCATGTTAAACTATCAGAGAGTTTAGAAATACGCTGCGACCCTAACCGATGGATTCTCTTTACGAACTATGCGCGATGATTCTGTACGGATGGTAGAGTTTAGGTCGAGTACAAAATATCATGGGTTCATCGGTTCCGAAAAAAGTTCCTTCGTCATTTATGATACTAAATAGTCTAAGTATTATAAATAATTATCACACTTCATTGTGATAAACAGAATGTTAAGATGCCGATGAATGAACTAAATCAGATGATTAGAAGCTTTGGAAGAAATGTTTCACCCATGTGTAAGATCCAATAAAACTAAAAGAAGTCAGTATGGATAACAGTCGTTACCTCACTTTCTGGAACTATGAGACTTTTATTGATTTGTCGATTTACAGCTATGTCTTTGCAAATATATTCAATACTAGAATTTTGATCAGAGATCCGATCACTATGTACTCGTCATAGTTCATCATCTATA